ATTTTACCAATTTCGTGGTGTCAGTTAGTCACGGATATGTCACAGTAAGTACTAACCGTATATGTTTCACATACGTTCACATATTTTACACACAGGCGGTCGATCATTGTGAAAAATTGTGTGAATATTTATTTTTATTGAGACGTTCCAAGTGCCTGTGCTTTTAACAGTCTTGTACGTCATTGCACGTGCGTCAAGAACCACAAACTCAGCACAATTTCATCTCTGTTATTGTTGACGCCTGAATGCGTGATTGATCAGGGAGGGGGATGCATGTAAGAGGAGTTTTCTTTGGGGTTCCGAAAAACACAATTCCACTTGACAATTTCATGGCCAATTTCAATTGGAAGCTCTGCATAATGGACCCCCAACAAGCCCTTTGACTGGCTAGTCAAGAAATTCAAAGGTCTGTATAATTATTGCTCTTATTTAGCCGCCGATAGTTCTTATTTAGAACAAAGTCTTCATTGTTATCTTCTAAAACTACAGACCATCCGCTGACCGCTGTTTAGACGTGCGCCTGGCCTCGAATTTGGCGCACGTCTCCACTGCGGACAGCGCTTTATACTTGAACATCCCCGCGGTCGCGTGCGCATATCCCGCAGAACTGCGCGTCTCATCCGCGCGCAGCGCTCAGGATCAACAGCAAAGCTGTGCCACTCAATCTTGTATCATGTCTCTCTGGTTAGACCACAGAAATATATCTCATAGAAATATAGAAATATCATAGAAATAATATACTAGTTAGACCATAGAAATATATCCCATAGAAATATGACCCGGACCAGTTTGATGTAGGATCAAATTTGCAGTCTGTACGGGGTATAAGTTTTAAAGAGCTGACATACATCACAATCGACCGCCATCTTTTTTAACAAACACAGGATAACGCACACGTGCAACAATCGGATTTCGGGATGAAATCGAGTTGCTGACGTTTCTGTTTACGTTGCAGTGGGACTTGGTTTGCGACCGTTCGAGTCTTCAAGCTCTTGGCAACTCCTTGCTCGCAGTCGGTGTCGGTACAGGATCCGTAGTATTTGGAGACCTATCCGACAGGTAACCGGTCGGAGATAAATCTGCCGCTATGTGTTCGAAAATTGTTAAAGTCTGCTTTCAGCCGCTCTCTCACGACGGAACCGCACGTCTGTCTGATAGACATACATGTCTCTCACAGCGGCCACCGTACCTCTGATTCAAGATAGAACTTAAATTCATGGCGAGGGTGTATTAGCCTACTCGCGCGCACACATACTTGTACAAACACACACACACACACACACACACACGCACACACACACACACACGCGCGCGCACACACACACACACGCGCGCACACACACACACACGCACACACACACGCACACACGCACACACACACGCACACACACACACACACACGCGCGCGCACACACACACACACGCGCGCACACACACACACAGACACGCACACACAAACT